AAGAATCATAACGTAGAGAGCCGGACGGGTGGAGGAGAGGGTATATATATATATATATATATATATATATATATATATATATATATATATATATATATATATATATATATATATATATACAACATCATGTTCTCTCTCGCTCTAATAACATTTATGCTGTGTCATTTTCTTCTATGGTTTCCCATTGTGTGGAACAGGAAGTGTGTTATGCATATCAAGGTCCTCCCAGGATTAGGTCAGCGGTTGGCCTCCCCCAGGAGACCACAACAGTGGTCTAAAGCCCCAGGTACCTGTTTACTGCTAGGTGAACAGAAACATGAGGGGTAAGGAAACGTTGGTAGGGGTTGTATTCTGGCTGTGATGATCACTGTGCTGTTCTTTCACCTGATGCTTTTGTTCACTTTGTAGTAAATAGGTACCCCGGGAACTAGGCAACTGTTCTGAGGGTTGCATCCTGGGGAGAGACAAGAGTTTGACCTTGGGGGACCTCGATGTAAGTCTGGAGTGTATATATTCACTGTCTTTCTGTCCCCGATAGAAGCAATTATTATATATAGAGAGGCGTTTTCTAACCGTTCCATTCTTCCATCTCTTTTATAATGTATTTTGATGATTATTATTATTAAAAATTGTGCATCGAACCCTTATTTAAGTTTACCTTCGTATTTCATCTTCATCACTCCGTTTTCTTTAAGTTACTGTTCAAATTTTCTATCATTTCTCCCGTGAAGGTGGCAGCCCGTCCTCCTAAGGAGCATGGGAAGTATACAGTATACATCCGGTGTATACAATACACCTAGAGGTGTGCCAGTCTCGGTGTACATGCACTAAGAATACATTTTAATCCTGTCCATTGTTTGTAACTAAAGTACACTCGGTTGATCAGTAAACTGGCGCAGAGGCCTTAGTAACCCTTCAAAAAGTTGGCAGACCTCAAGCCCAACACTAGCGCAGTGGTCAGCATAGGTGCTTCAAAACCGGGAGGTTACTTGTGTAACTCAATTCAAACGCCTTATGACGAAGGCGTTTGGGCCACATTCATTTTCATAACATTTCCTTGCGTAATAGTGACCTCATTAGTATAATGTAACTCCTGTCACTACAATTATACATTACTACTATGTTCCTTGTAGACACATTCTTTTGATATTAGTATATTTGGGTAGCAGTCTTTCCCGTAGACATATATTATTAAATATGACCGAAAAAGTCAGATTAATAATTCTAACACGAATTTTCTCGATCTTTCTTATGTTTCTTTTCAATCTTTCTCTCAATCGAAATTCTCAATCAATCGAAAGATCTTTTCGATCTTTCTTATGTTGAAAAGAAACATAAGAAAGATCGAGAAAATTCGTGTTAGAATTATTAATCTGACTTTTTCGGTCATATTTAATAATATATGTCTACATTCTTTTGAATCAATATTATTATTATATCACATCTGTGGCCTTTGTTCAGCAGCAGTAAATAGGCGCCCGAGAGTTAGACAACTGTTGTGGGTTGCATCCTGTTGCTGGTCTAGGGAAGGGGGACCTCTAACACAACCTTCTTGCCATCTTCATCACCTCCTTCCTTCTTGAGGTTATCTTGAGATGATTCCGGGGCTTTTAGTGTCCCCCGCGGCCCGGTCCTCGACCAGGCCTCCACCCCCAGGAAGCAGCCCGTGACAGCTGACTAACATCCAGCTACCTAATTTACTGCTAGGTAACAGGGGCATAAGGTGAAAGAAACTCTGCCCATTGTTTCTCGCCTGCGCCTGGGATCGAACCCAGGACCACAGGATCACAAGTCCCGCGTGCTGTCCGCTCGGCCGACCGGCTCCCTTTAAGTGACCTTATAGACCTCCCTCCCTTGTAGACCTTACCTTGGTCTACTGTCTCCCTCGGTCCTCCTGTCCTCAACATTATGTATTTAAAGGGGAGGCTTTTGTAGTCCCTGTTTTCATTGTCAGCTAATTTTCTCTGAATAAAATAGTGGCTCGGTAGCTGAGGCAGAACAAAGGGCATTTAATTTTTGTTTTTTTTCCTGGTAATGGTTGTTGGAGTGTGTAATTACAAGTGTAGTTACAGGATGAGAGCTACGCTCGTGGTGTCCCGTCTTCCCAGCACTCTTTGTCATATAACGCTTTGAAACTACTGACGGTCTTGGCCTCCACCACCTTCTCACCTAACTTGTTCCAACCGTCTACCACTCTATGGTGTGTGTGTGTGTGTGTGTGTGTGTGTGTGTTTGTATTCACCTAGTTGTTGTGCTTGCGGGGGTTGAGCTCTGCTCTTTCGGCCCGCCTCTCAACTGTCAATCAACTGTTTCTAACTGCTACTACTATTTTTTTCCACACCACACACACACACCTCAGGAAGCAGTCCGTAACAGCTGACTAACTCCCAGGTACCTATTTACTACTAGGTAACAGGGGCATAGGGTGAAAGAAATTTTGCCCATCGTTTCTCGCCGGCGCCCGAGATCGAACCCGGGGACCACAAGATCACGTGTACAGCATGCTGTCCGCTCGGCCACCGGCCCCTGTGTGTGTGTGTGTGTGTGTATACCAAGGAAGGAAGGAAGGGCAAAAAACTGTATAAACATATAATTTCTAATATAATTTGTTTTATGTAATATATCAACGTCGCGCGTAGAATGAATTTTTAGTATTTGAACCTACTTGTTGAGCACTAAAGTGGCAGAGTGCTTGAGTACCGGGAGAGCTTGATACCAGGGGCCAGATTCACGAAACCACTTACGCAAGCACTTACGAACCTGTACATCTTTTCTCAGTCTTTGGAGGCTTTGTTTCCAATTAGTAAACAGTTTATGAGCTCCGAAGCACCAGGAGGCTGTTTATAACAATAACAACAGTTGATTGGGAAGTTTTCATGCTTGTAAACTGTTTAATAAATGTAATCAAAGCCGTCAAAGATTGAGGAAAGATGTACACGTTTGTAAGAGCTTGCGTAAGTGCTTTCAAATTTCCGACATTTCAAATATTTTGAAAACTGCAGGGGGGTTTGGGCAAAATATGACCCATCGCCGTTTTTAGTAATTGGCATATTTTCGGTATTAAAAGTCGTAATTTGAAAATGAAAATAGGTGCACAGTCAGACTTCGGCTCAAAAATCACACTCAGGAGTCAAATTTTCGACATTTCAGATATTTTCAAAACTGCAGGGGGGGGGGGCAAAAGATGTTCCATCGCCGTTTTCAGTAATTGGCATATTTTCGGTAAAAAAAATCGTAATTTGAAAGTGAAAATAGGTGTAGAGAGTCAGAATTCAGCTCAAAAATCACGCTCAGGAGTCAAATTTCGGACATTTACGATATTTTGAAAACTGCAGGGGGGTTTGGGCAAAATATGACCCATCGCCGTTTTCAGTAATTGGCATATTTTCGGTATAAAAAGTCGTAATTTGAAAATGAAAATAGGTGCAGAGAGTCAGAATTATGCTCAAAAATCAAGCTCAGGAGTCAAATTTCGGACATTTCAGATATTTTGAAAACTGCAGGGGGGTTTGGGCAAAATATGACCCATCGCCGTTTTCAGTAATTGGCATATTATCGGTGTAAAAAGTAGTAATTTGAAAATGAAAATAGGTGCAGAGAGTCAGAATTCGGCTCAAAAATCACGCTCAGGAGTCAAATTTCGGACATTTCAGATATTTTGAAAACTGCAGGGGGTTTGGGCAAAATATGACCCATCGCCGTTTTCAGTAATTGGCATATTTTCGGTATAAAAAGTCGTAATTTGAAAAAGAAAACAGGTGCTGAGAGTCAGAATTCAGCTCAAAAATCACGCTCAGGAGTCAAATTTCGGACATTTACGATATTTTGAAAACTGCAGGGGGGTTTGGGCAAAATATGACCCATCGCCGTTTTCAGTAATTGGCATATTTTCGGTATAAAAAGTCGTAATTTGAAAATGAAAATAGGTGCAGAGAGTCAGAATTATGCTCAAAAATCAAGCTCAGGAGTCAAATTTCGGACATTTCAGATATTTTGAAAACTGCAGGGGGGTTTGGGCAAAATATGACCCATCGCCGTTTTCAGTAATTGGCATATTATCGGTGTAACAAGTAGTAATTTGAAAATGAAAATAGGTGCAGAGAGTCAGAATTCGGCTCAAAAATCACGCTCAGGAGTCAAATTTCGGACATTTCAGATATTTTGAAAACTGCAGGGGGTTTGGGCAAAATATGACCCATCGCCGTTTTCAGTAATTGGCATATTTTCGGTATAAAAAGTCGTAATTTGAAAAAGAAAACAGGTGCTGAGAGTCAGAATTCAGCTCAAAAATCACGCTCAGGAGTCAAATTTCGGACATTTACGATATTTTGAAAACTGCAGGGGGGTTTGGGCAAAATATGACCCATCGCCGTTTTCAGTAATTGGCATATTTTCGGTATAAAAAGTCGTAATTTGAAAATGAAAATAGGTGCAGAGAGTCAGAATTCGGCTCAAAAATCACGCTCAGGAGTCAAATTTCGGACATTTTAGACTTTCTGAAAACTGTAGGGGGGGTTTGGGCAAAATATGACCCATCGCCGTTTTCAGTAATTGGCATATTTTCGGTGTAAAAAGTCGTAATTTGAAAATGAAAATAGGTGCAGAGAGTCAGAATTCGGCTCAAAAATCACGCTCAGGAGTCAAATTTCCGACACTTCAGATATTTTGAAAACTGCAGGGGGGTTTGGGCAAAATATGACCCATCGCCGTTTTCAGTAATTGGCATATTTTCGGTGTAAAAAGTAATTTGAAAATGAAAATAGGTGCAGAGAGTCAGAGTGGTATGTGTGTATGGTAATGTTGTTTTAGATTCATCTACTCTGCACAAAACGTTCCAATCAGTACGGGCTCTGGCGAGGTCATCTTACTTACCTGGCACAGGAGATGTTGTATGGTAATAGATGTCTTGGTTTCTCGCAGCACGGGCTGTGATGAGGTCGTCTTATACTTACCTGGCACAGGAGATGTTGTATGGTAATAGATGTCTTTATTTCTCGCAGTACGGGCTGTGCGAGACGCTGCAGCAGCTGCACTGGTTCAGCGAGGCGGCCAGCGTGGACACCTTCGTGCCCCGCGGCTACTGCATCGGCCACGAGGACGAGCGCACCGCCTTCATCCACGACTACCGCCTCACCGCCTGCCTCAACGTGCTCAAGTGGGTGACGGAGCGCCATGACACCCACGGCCCGCAGGCCATCTCCGACCCTCACGGCGAGGTTTGTCACCGCGATCCAGCTCCTTTCCATGATCTTGTCAAAAGAGGTTTATCTTACCTAGCATCAGCTGAGGCGTGTGAGGGCTCTGGGTGAAGGGTCTCAAGGCAGTGGTAGTGGCTGCATTTTTCTGTTAGGGAGAATTTAGCATTGTCATTAATAATTCTATATTTCTCAGATTTAATATTATATAGAATGAGTACAAGAGCTGTGTTGCACTTTATAGTCAGAACGAAAGCATAGATATATAAGGAAAATTCAGTAGGCATATTGTACTGCATCTCTGAGGTAATGGAAGATATTCATAACAGTAGGAAAGTGGTTATGGATGTTAGAGAGGTACTGAAGACACCACTGGCCATGATCACAACACTAGCTGTGATCACAACACTGGCTGTGATCACAACACTGGCTGTGATCACAACACTGGTTGTAAGAAAATCAGTAGGAGCCTTGATCACAACACTGTGATCTTCACAACACAAACTGTGACCTTCACAACACAATGAGAGAGAGCACCCACACGAGACCTAACTAGCTAGATTGATTAACATGCCAAACAACTGCTAACGAGATGACAATTTATTTATTTATTTATTTATTTATTTATTTATTTATTTATTTATTTATATATTTATATATGTGTGAGACGAACTAGTGACGAAGGGTAACAGCAGGTATAACGATCAAACGGCAGCTGACGAAGGGTGTCTGGTTGCAGGTGCCGATGAAGCGAGTGCGTCAGGCGTTGGCCCACGTGGAGCAGTACATCCAGTCTTGCTGTCATGACGATCTGGACGCCCCGCCGCCGCCCAGCCTCCGGGACCTCGAGTGGGACTCCCTCCTCACCGCCCACTACAAGATCGTTCACATGGACAAGAAGATCAAGGTGGCCACCTCGACACAGTTACAGGTGAGGTGCTTTCTAAGGCACTCTAGTCACAAGCAATGCTGACCACTGAGAAAATGTGGAAGCTGTTCGCCTATTCCTTCTATTTCGATATTTGATCAGTTTCCCGCATCATGAGATATCATCACAGACACCATTATGTTTAGTTTTTTCTATGAAATCTTTGCTTCTCCAACTCTAGCACATTTGTGGTTTTGGAGGTTGTTCTGTGTAGATTTATACAAAGAAAATATTTATATTAATGGATGTTTTGTTTTAGTGATTCTCTCGTTATTTTTTTCTTAAGACATTTTACAGGGTCATATTTCCTGCCCAGTGGGACGACTTTACTGAGCTCCTGGGAAGATATACAAAGCTTCTCCGGGAAAAGGGAAATTGTTGGAACTTGAGAACTCAGAAGCAGCGTCTCAAAGTGTTGTGGTCATTTGACATCAACGTGCCCAACCACTTGGGCTGGATGGTGGAGCGACGGTCTTGCTTCATGCATGTTGGCGTTCAGTCCTCGACTGTCTACGTGGTTGGGCACCATTCCTTTCCCCCGTCCCAACCCAAATCTTTATCCTGATCCCTTCAAAGTACTATATACAGTAGTCGTAATGGCTTGGCACTTTCCCCTAATAAATCCTTTCTTGACATCAACATTGTTACCAAGTTTTATTGTCTTATTGCTTGTCAGTACTGTCAGGTACTGCAGTCTGAATAACCTCTATTACACACAGAAATCACAATAGCGTGATGCATCAAATGAACAAAATGTTGTAGCTCAGTCGATTAAGGCAGCGTCTGGGATCCTCAATGACGTAGGTTCGAACCCTCGTCACGGCTCTTGTCAATTTGTTCCTAATAACCTCTAATTTCCAAATCTTCCCATTCCTCCCACACACACATACAAAATATATATATAATTAATTGTTCATATTATGTGTGTGTGTGTGTGTATAATCATTGAATACTATTTTGTAGCACAAGAGTAAATTGCACAATTATATGCCAAAGTAGATTTGATATATTGTTTGTCCTGTTTGCATATCCCTATGGGGAGAGGGGAGGTGGAAGGGTGAGGGGGACTTACCTTCCCCAGGACACATGACACCCTGGGAGGAAGGGGTGGAGGAGCGAGGATGCCAACCCTCTCCTAGGGCACCATATCCTGTAGTAGAGGTGGAGGGTTCCTACCCCTACAAGGTCAAGATGCCAGTAATAACAACCCTCATTCTACCACCAATTACCAGGAGATTTATTCTAACTTTAGCTCTTCCTCAAGGAAAATGATTCAAGACCCGTGGCTGGGGTGCCATATTTGTGACCGTTGGTCTGGTACTGGCAGGGAAACCCTCCATAGAGTGGTTGGCCCTCTACCACCTCACATCATGGGTAAGCACTTGCCCCACACACCATGGGTAAACACTCACACAATCACATCATATCATGAATGAACACTCCCACCAGCACCCCACGCCATGGGTGAACCCTGTCCCACCACCTCCCACACCTGTTAACCTTTAAGGCACAGCTGGAAATGATCATCAAGGTAAGGCAACCTTCGACAAGCCACCGGCTTCCTGTCTTCGTCAAGGCCACTTGTGTTAGTGGCTCTTAGGTAAACTCAGGTAAACCATGGACTAACACTTTCCCACCACAACCCACATCATGGGTATGGGTGGTGGTGGGAGTGTGTTCGTGTTGATACCAGTATATCTCCTTTAGGCATTGTTTTTCAATTCTTCCTATAATGGTTTTCCCCTCCCTCCTGCAGGCACTGGTGTCAGAATGTGCATCAGCACTGGAGCGTGTGGTTCCCTACTGGCCACAGCTCTCTATGGACGGACTGAGGAACCTGTGGATCGTGAAACCTGGGGCACAGTCGAGAGGCCGGGGAATTTTTATGATGAACCACCTGGAGGAGATCTTGGCTCTTGTACAATCCCCGCTCATATACGAGACCAAGTACGTCGTGCAAAAGTACATGGGTAAGGGTCTCCCTCCTCCTAATGTTCACATTGGTTCCATAATACAATACAATACAATACAATTTTATTTAGGTAAGGTACATACATACAATAAATATTTACAAGGATTGTTTAACTTATAGGTATAGCTAGTACATACAATGCCTAAAGCCACTATTACGCAAAGCGTTTCGGGCATAATAACACATGGTAACTGATCTTTCACTCACTAACTCATAAATTATTGTATCATTATCATCATCATTATTATTATTATTAAATTTCATCAGAACTTGTGCAGGTTCACAACATTTCAAGATCATTGTAAATAATAAGTGAGTGCTATTAATGTTAGTAATAATTGTTACACATGCAATAATGAGAACTGCTATATAATATACATGAAATTGATTTAAAAAAAGAAAAAAATTGTATTTGCATTTAATATTACAATATTTCTCCAGATGAGGTACTATTGTAATGTGTACAAAGAATTTTACTTGGAATATTATTAAATTATCTGGTAACATTAAAGTTATGAATGCAAATAGTGTACAGTATATTTTCTAATACAGTATGTATATGTATATATACATAAAAAATGTATATACATATATTATATACATATATATGCTGAAAATACATATACATTTTCAGCATATATACATATACACTGAAAAAACATATTTGAAAAATTAGAGAACGCTGAATGCGTTTTTGGCTCAATTCGCCTTTATCAGAGTAAAATATAGAGTGAGCTATATGAGGAAAGATATAGCTAACTCTCTGTCTTGCTCTGATTAAGGTAAATTAAACCAAAAACATTTTCAGCATTTTCAAATTTTTCAAATGTGGATTTTCCACATAGTGTACTTGGATCAGTGCTTTTGTGATTTATAAATTATTTCTCTAACATTCTTTCATATACTGTACAACACTTTCAGGCTATTCTAACAATTTTCTAAATTTGCATAAAACACACTGACTTACCATTATATATTTTGTGTACTATTGAAATGTAAATAATGAACTGTATAGCCCTACATGCTACTGACATGATTGATTCCTGGCAGAGCGCCCACTTCTCATCCACAACACCAAATTTGACATCCGCCAGTGGTTTATGATCACCGATTGGAATCCACTTCATGTCTGGGTATACAAGTAAGGCTTTTGATTGATATCAAAATCACCATTAGGGATAAGTGGTAGATATAAAAAATTTTAAGCATAAATTTATATACAGTATTGCCAGCCCTCAATTTGCACAAAATTATATTCCTGCAAAAAAATGGAATAAGTTAAAACCAGTATACAGTACAGTACAGTATTGGGAAAAATGAGGTTAGGTTGCAGACACGTCCAAAGTGCCAATTTTTTCCCACCGCAGTACAAGAATGTAAGAACTCTTGTATATATATATAAATTGAAATTTAAATTGAAAAAAGTTTATTGAGGTAAAATACACACAAAGGGATGAGGTAGCTCAAGCTATTCTCACCCCGTTCAGTACATTGTGTTAATACATACATACACACACATCACAAGCAATAAACGTATTACCGAACATTCTGAGAAATAAACATATACATTTCCTTATATATATATAACTATATGCGGAAAATCCACAGAGAAATATGAAATGAGGTGAACGTTTCGGCTTTGTTAAAGCCTTTGTCAACACCAGACTGACCAAAATAATATAATATAATAATATAATATAACTATATATATATATATATATATGTATATATATAAATAAATGTATTTACTAGACAAAACACCAATGTAAAGAATAATATTTAATGCTCCCTCTACTTTCCAGCCACAAATTCAGCATACAATGCTGAATTTATTTATTCATCATAAATATATTCCAAAAAAGTTTGTAAAACCTAAAAACAGAACATAAGATGTGTGGGAGCCTAACTTATTGCTGAGATTGTGAAAGACCTAGAAATTTGTATAGATTATTCTTATTATATTGTACTGTGTTAATATATATTATCAAGCTACATAACTGATAATCACCCATACACTTTGAAAATTGGTGCAATACGTACAAAAGGGGCTTATTCACATAACCTAAGTCTATTTTCAATACAGTATTCCAATACTATGCCACACAAATCATGGGCCATTTATGTGGCCCGTCTCTACGTTTACTCGACATTTTAGCACTTTTAAAAATGCCATGGATATCATTGGCTAAATTACCTATTCAAGTCATATGTGTTAGCTTACATCCTGTTTATTATCCAAGGAACTAATGTGATATATCAATGAGAAAATCAATTGTAGCAATGTGGGGATTCGAAGCAATGATCTGGGTACCCCCAGCCATGCACCTCATTCCTGAATCACAACATTGTTAAGGTCCCAGATTGCCAGTTCCATATTGTTCCAATTAATTTTCATGTTGGTATATTAGTACAGGTTCCTTGTGTATTTGAAAATGGAGATGGAGAGCCCCATTACCCATACAAAGTGCATGGGAGGGGGTTATATTGCATGTCAAAACTGGGACTGGCTTCAGCTAAGGGCCTTCGGACTTCGTGTGGATTGAGTGGACTCCCAGGTTGTGTAACTACCATGTCGTGGCCCAGGGGTAAGGTGCGGGACTGGCAGTTCCCAGGTTTCTGACTCTAATCCCAACTTTGCTCCAATTGAGTCATTGATTTTTCCTGTTAATTATTTTTACTCCATTAAATCTTTATTATTTTTTCCTGCTTTATTTTATGTTATCCCTGATTTTATGTTAACTCCTGAGTACCTACTCACTGCTAGGTGAACAGAGGCATTAGGTGAAAGAAAATGTGCCCAATTATTTATGTCCCGCCTGGGTTTCGAACCTGGAATTCTTGATTGTGCTTCGAGAACGAACCCGACTGTACTACCGGGACACTTTACCAAAAGTTCATCTGTATGTTCTTGTTGATATTACCAATGTTAAATACTATATCTGAACTGTAGCTAAAACTATAGATCTATACTGTAGTAGTCTATGCACATCGTCATTAAGTATCACCTTTAAATTATTTATTATTACTAAACTTCTTGAACATCTCACATATGATAGCTTACTTCTCATTTAGTATAAAGTTTACTCCATTATGTTTAAACAAATTTTAATCTGACCTATTCTAAGTGTGGCCCAAAATCCCTCTCATATTAGTGGCTTACTTTAATATGCAACCCCCTGTACCTTCAAATATACCATTATTATGTTCTTATACAGTATATGCATATTTTATGAATAAAATATTATTATTATTATTATTATTATTATTATTATTATTATTATTATTATTATTATTATTATTATTATTATTATTATTATAAAATTCTTAAGTATATAAGTATATAAAAGACATAATTCTTAAACTGAACATTAGCACTATCAAAGAATATCTGACAATCGTCTTGTATTTGAACATATAGAGACCTGATAGACTCCAGGCATCATAACTCTTGGTATACATGAAGAAGTTGTTAGTTGATGGAAGTGTGGACGTGTTGGCAGGGAGTGCTACTTGAGGTTCTGCTCGCAGCAATACGACCTCACCAACAACAACGAGGCCATCCACCTTAGCAACAATGCTATCCAGTGTAAATACCTCAATGGGGAGAGGAGTGGCGAGCTTCCTGACGAAAACATGTGGGACTGTCAACAGTTTAAGGAGTACCTCAGGTGGGTCATATCTTTCCTTGTTACTAGTCTTCATTCCTTTAAGCAGCCACTTATGTGGTTGGCACTGGCACACCATTTTTAACTAAACAGTAAGCTTTGGTAATTACTCTACTTGACAAAAAATAGGTTTGAACCTTATAATTTTCTTTTTTTTGTTTATTTTACTTGCAAATAAATACTAAATGTACATTGTATATACAGTCTCTAACTTAATGTTTCTTCCAGTTCTTATTTGTATTAGTATTGAGGAAGTCAGTAGTATGTGTAGAACCATATGTTGACAAGGTGTGTGTCCGACAGGGGGCTTAAGAAGGAGGGAATGTGGGAAGAGGTGATCTACCCTGGGATGCGTGATGCTCTGGTAGCTGCTATGCTTGCTGCACAGGTTGAGATGGATTCCTTCAAACATGGTTTTGAGCTCTTTGGTGCAGATTTCATGCTAACCGAAGACCTCAGGTAACTTTAATCCTCATGTTTGATGTTTAACACCTTCGTTTGGAATGCACTGTTCATGCATATAATTCTTCACAAGATAATGGCCTTTTTTTTTTGTATGAGCGCTGTGAAGTACAGGAGGGAGTATTTAAATATGCATGTTATGTGTACCGACAGGCCTTGGTTAATAGAGATCAACTCGTCACCATGTATGGCTGCCACCACCAGTGTCACGCGCCGCATGTGTGCCCAGTGCCTCCATGATGTCATCAAAGGTACCATTTTCTTGCATGCAGCCGAGTCATGCAGCAAAAAGAAAGTTTGATCAAAACATGTTGGCCTAACCACAGACAAAGTTGTAGACTAATTTTTTTTTCTCTGAAAATAATTAATTGTAAACAAGTAGATAATATGAATTTAACACCCATATATTTGTTCTGAGATAAAAGCTGTATCATGAAATAAGATTATTTACAGGATCAGAGGCATGATTTACATTACTAAAGACACATTTAGATTGCACAGGCACTCTTGTGGCTTGTTTTTACCAAAGTATTATTGCTTGGGATTGATGCACCATCACTCTCAACACATAAAGTAACATCACAACATGAGTACAGTCTTTACCACATGAGCACCATTGCCACTACCTAAGCACCTTTGCCATCACCTGAGCACCATCGCCACCACCTAAGCACCTTTGCCACCACATATAACAAAGCTATAACAACATAATATATTTACACAAGTACAGTAATACATTACAGGGGAAAGTTTCTGAGCAATCCCATTTCGTTGCTCCACTTGCCATGGTCCTCCTGGCTAGGGTTATGCTCAGTCAGGGTAAGTGAGCAGTCTATACCAGTGCAGCAGGGATCTTTCAAACATCCCTGCTGGGTCATACTAATGTGAGGAAGACATTGTAGAATACCCAGTCTAGCTCAAAATGATCTCTGACAGGTTCATTAATATATATTTATAAGGTTTTCAAGCACTACTGTACTTTGCATGACTAAGACTGCCAGGCAGTGTTTTGCAGCACAAGCAAGTTTTACTCACTTTTAGCTTCTGCTATAATACTTTCTTTAGGGAGTAACCATGTGAGATTGGGAGCAACCAGTCTTTAATATTAAAGACCATTTAGTTTAATACAGTGGAACCTCAGGTTGACACATGACCCTCTTTATGAATTTTTAATTATGAATATTCTTTTCCATTTAAGACACCCTTTTGCACCCTAAATTGTATTTTACCAATGCAGTTATGATGGCTACAGATATTTTACAGTGGTGGTTGACTATAAGCACAACAAGACAGCAGACACAGGGCTGTTTGAGTTGGCATATCGTGACAGTGAGCGTTCAGTCCCCAACCCCCCGTATCTGGGTGTCAACCTCCAGGTAAGCTTTTCAACATGTATATGTCATTTCCTCCAGTAACATTAGGAAAGCACTGTATTCATGTGGATATGTGTAAATATTATGCTGTGTATACAGGGTTGAGCATCAACTCCAAGATCCTGCCTTTTATTTTATCAAGTCACTTAAAGCATTGACTTGAGCTAACCTTCCTTTTTTTTGTTATCTAACCAAATTTTATAACTTTGAATGGAGTTAATCAAAACTATCTTTTTCTTTTAATAATTTCAAATTATTTACTACTGTACTCATACTCTAAAGAAATGAACGATTACTTCACTGACAGACTTGTCTCTAGCTTCTCTTCATATCCTCTTGTTCTTCCATTTCTTTATCAGAACATCTCAGCTTTGTTTACCTTGTTACTATTTCTAAGAATATTATATTTTGTGATCATGTAACTATTTTTTCTCCTGTGTTGTGATGTTAAGTTCACTCAGCCTTTCCTCCTATTCCAACTTTTCAGTTTTAGGATCAGTCTTGTTGCAAACCTATATATATGGACTTTTTTTTAGTTTATTGCCTCTGTCATGGAGAACCCTTCAACAGCTGGGCTATTGTGGCTCCAGCATGCATACATGTGTTTGCAATGTGTGTATAGAGTAAATAAACTAGATACAGTGTTCATCTATCAAATTGTCAAAAAAAAAAAAAAAATAGATACCATCATCGAACACAACTTTTCCTCACTGGCAGGTGGTGGGACGACAGATCAAGAAGGGACCAATTAAAGCCGAGAAGAAGAAAACTAAGAAAGCTCGTCCAGCTGTGCGGGTCGTTAAGCCACTGCCACTCATCACGCTGTCTCTGGAGGAGAGTGTTCATTATACCCCGAAGGATGTGTCCAGGGACTCTAGTGGGACACTGACCAGGCACTGCTCCATCCTTGACTGTCGTAAATATGCCATTGGCAGCATTGCCTCTTTACCTATATCATCATTCACTGAGGCATCAGAAAAAGTTGACAATGAATGGGAAAAAATTAATCAAAGTGCAAACAGTCATGTGGAAATCTGTAGTGAAGGGAGTATAGCTAAACAAGTTATTAGGGATATAAATAATTCTAGAGAAGATTCTAGGAGATATAAGACCAACGAAAGTATAGAAGGCAAGAATACTTTAGTAAGTTCACATACTCACACGACGGGAAAGAGCAGTGTGGTGAATACACATTTGGGTTGCCGAGGTTCGTGACCCCTCACACCAACATTTTAGGTAGTTTTAACCTGGGGGATATTTTAGCTAATATGGAGTTGACATGTGCTGCTTGCTAATATGGCTAGGAGTGGCATTGTTGAGTGGGGGGAGATGAATAATTTTGCTAGGAAATGTGAAGCTGGGAATTATCTTGGGCAAAGATTGATCTGTAATTTTGCTAGAGAATGCAGTCAGGTAAAGTATGTTTACTGTATTATATAGCTTGTGACCAAGTCAAGTGTGCTGGGAATAGAGGAATTAATAATTTTGCTATAAAATGCATCCGGGTAAGGTATTTTTGATAGTGATGGATATATAATTATTTGAAAATTGGTGATGATCAGTAATAATTGGACAGTGTGACCAGAGTGAAAAACACTAGACAATTATCATTAATGACCATGAAAATTGGAGTTCAGATAGTTAGTACTGCAAAAGATAAATAGGTACTGCTGTACAGTATCTTGAAATTTATAAAAATCTACATTCTAAGTATTAAAACAAAATATAAAAAAATGCCATGTGAGAAGACTTGTAGGGCACTGAAACTAATCTGCTTATTAGGAAACGACTGAATAAAAATTTTCAGTGATATGATCTCGTGTCTCATTATAAGAAGAGAAACTGAGCAGTAATTTCATGTTTTCATTGCACTGATATTTCAATACCCATACCAAAGTTTCTGAAAACAAATATATTACTTCTGAAGGCATTAATATCCAGTTGGTTAGATCTCACTATGGCCTTGACATTCACAGTGATAAAGACATATCAAGAGGATTAATTTCTTATTAATTCAGTGTAATTCAGTATACTGCATTAACTTTAAAAATAAAATGGGTATAAACATGTGATCAAAGTGTAAAAGAAAACTATAAAGATACTATTGAAGACAAAAATAAAACATGTAACTAAAATTAATAGAAGAAAACTGAAGGAGAATTAAAGCATTTCTTACAGCTACTCAAGATTACTTGCAGGCACTTATAACATGATGTAGGCTACAGTACACAGGGTGAATATAGTTGCACAACAATTCAGACACACGTCCACTACACACACACCAACACTGACACTTACTCGTGATAATGCTAAAAAAAAGAGATAGATCTGTGATGGTTAAATTAATTTGTTACGTTATATTCATGCCAAACCACAGTGTAACAACAATTGTTGTAGTTGCACAACAATTCAGACACACGTCCACTACACACACACCCACACTGACACTTACTCCTGATAATGCTAAAAAAAAGAGACAGATCTGTGATGGTTAAATTAATTTGTTATGTTATATTCATGCCAAACCACAGTGTAACAACAATTGTTGTAGTTGCACAACAATTCAGACACACGTCCACTACACACACACCCACACTGACACTAACTCGTGATAATGCTAAATAAAGAGATAGATCTGTGATGGTTAAATTAATTTGTTAGGTTATATTCATACCAAACCACAGTGTAACAATGCAAGGATTGCATACAGTCTTGGGTTAGTGCACTAGCACTTTCTTGCTATAGTCTTTGCTATTGAATTTTACTTTTAACCGTGTTTTATAATCACTTTCTTTTCCAGTAGCTGAAGGCATCCACTCCTGGGTTTTGCCTTTAACTAAAAATTAAGTTTTTTTTTTACCCTTATTAACAATATTCACCTCATAGAAGGAATCCATACATTACTCTGTGGATTCCATCAGTGTAATCCATAGAGTAATCATGCACTAATTTGTATAAAATTCAATAAATTAAATACAGCATGTCATAAATTGTTTCTGTATTATTTTTACATGTGCACATCAAACAATCCCACACTCGGTCTCATAATAATCATAATAATAGTAATAATTATTATTGTTATTATTATCATAATTATTATCATACTTAATCAAAAGTATGTTTAAAATTCTGCATCTCTTTCTTTTTTATAGAGCATTAAAAGTAGCAAGTTTCTCTTCTCTCTTATATCCGTGAGTATTCACTGTATTTCGGGTGATCACTACTATCTCTGTTCTGTTCTTAACTCACTTCGGTCAGGCATGAACATTTACAGTGACAATTGGTCTTATTAAAGTGCCATCCTGCAATGATATTTGTTTCAGAATGGCTCTGCTACTGTTTAGACCACTCATGTTCGGTATGTTGTGGGAAATATTTTACCAGATTTATTTACACATCAAGACTTGATGTGATCCACTGTACCAATCCTTTATGTATCTTTTTCTTCATTTTCCTGTACTCTTTTATTTTTTTTGTGCACTCAGCACTTCCTTACGTTTTGTTTCTGTTTATATACATTGCACAGAATCTTGAGTGCATACGTTCTGCAGTGGCATCCTTAAGCTTTGCTGCTGTACACTTTTAACTTTCTTGTTCTGTATTTGAAACGTTTACAACATTTAATATTTTATTCCATGCCATTTTCATCAAAATCTGTTATGTTGCCATCATTGCAGTACCTTCTCTCCCAGGTGTGGGAATTACAAGTATAGTACATTTCAGTTCTGTATCTCTAATTTGCATTTATGCCTTTTAAATACTAATTCACACATGCATCCCTAAATGGTCTTCTACACTGTAGTACCTTTCTGACCTGCTGTTCACCAAATAATTTATGGTATAACTCTACACCCACAAATTATTAATATTTGAATACTCAGTATTCAGAAAAATATTCCTATACTGTATACAGTACTGTATCTGCTTTGAATCTTCCTTCTCGGCAGAATCAATAAAATGTATATACAGTCCAGTACTACCCAGTAGCCATATTAATATTAGTAAATTTTAAATTATAATATATAAAAATCCCAAGCTTAATCAGTATAATTCTCTCAAATTAGTGCATTGTATTTTATTAATTTATGTCAGTTTAACAAGTTTAGATCTCTTAATTCCCTGACTATTCCAAAAAATATATAATTTTACTTCATTCTGCAGGCACAGAGTTCTGTAAATATGTCTTACACAACAGCATCTAACCTCAGTGACTCAATATGCAACAGAACATCTTTGTGAATTCAGTGCATTTACTTAATTTCAATCTTTTATATGGGCATTTACAGGGTGGTGGCTTTCCTGAAGCCGCAAAACTATTGATTTTGTAGTTATGGTTTAATATCACTCTTTGTCTGGGTACAGCATGATGCCAGCTGATCCTACATGCCAGCCAAATGTGATCTGAAACTGCAAATATCTATTAGCCAAATATGGTAACTTCTTTTAAAGTTTCTACTTTATTGTTTCATGCCACCAGCATTACATCAGTTTAAATATATTGTTTCCTTACAGTCACTTTGTCTATATTTTTAATACACAGTCACAGTGTTATTAACAGGGAAAAGAAATAACGGATCAGCAGATGTATTTGGTATTCCTTGTTTCAAGGATAAGGTCGCCAAGTACAGTGTGCCTGTCTTGTACACACACACCTACTGCCTAGGTAGATGTCACATGTTAGCACAAAGTTATTGTTCCTGGGGATCACAGTTCCCTTTTGAAAGCAGAGGGGAGGGGGTGCTAGCATGTGTTTTTGTAGCTTCATCGCACGTCCAACTTACCCCATGCCCTAGACTGAATGCTAGTATAAGAATGGTGATGGATTTGGGCTCAGTTATTACTCTGCCTTTTGATGAATACATTTCACAATATTGTTCCTAGGTCACACACCTAGTACTGCCAATCAGGTGTCAAACAGCAATTATCGGATATTATATCAAAAGCTTTGTATTAGAACTGTCTCATCGAATCATTTTGTTAGCCTTGGCATCATTTTAAATAAAAGCTGTCTGCCTTCCTGTTCCTGAAGCCAGCATAGTTCACGATGCCTCTCACTTCCTCAAGCCAGGCTAAGCCATGCAAGTTATTTCATTCTCAGTATTGAAGTAAAAATGTACTAGTGCTTCTGTGATAATTTTACAGTTCATCTAAGTCACTTGTCTTTTAGGTAAACTGGTTTCAATACAATGTTCTGACTGACTAGGATGTTGTATGGCTCACTTCACAGCTTTTCACTTACCAAAGTTTTTAATTCAGTATTTATGCAAAATTAAAACAAAATGTTTTTTTCTGATGCATATAACATTATAAAATTAAAATAAAAAATTCATACTATGACATTAATGCCACATTTTAGAAATTGGTAAAAAACATAACGGTGAAAAGCAGCCAGCACTACTTAGTGTGTTGAGTTACGGGAATACAACCAGGTGGAGCTCCGTACGACATTATCCAGTCATGTTAAGTGAGCTTTGTGGGAAGTAACAATAGCACAGACAACTGTTACACTAGGTTACACATTTCCTTTGTGATTTCTTGTGTTGTTGCTATCAGTGAGACTAGTGAATATATTATTTCATGTACCAACCCTTTGGCAATGGAAATTTTGTATTGACTACTAAATTCTTTTATAAAATTGTTTGAATAATAAAGATTCCAGCTGAATAAGGCACGTTGTTTCTGAAATCCTAATTGGACAGAAAATCATTGTACAATATATATTATTGGAATTAAACTGTTTAATTTACCAGAATTTATCCGAGCTTACCCAATTGTCTTTGATAATCAACAAGAAATGGGTGTATGGTTGAAGCAGAAAATGGTAAATAAAGTATTTACTAAAGTAAATAAAGTAAAGTGAGAGGCAGCTACTCATATTGAGTACCAGTTTCACACACTGGTTAAATGTTTGTTTATCATGTAGAAATCTGAAGAAGCTGGTGATGTACATGCAGGAGACCAGCCCCTGAGGACTCTTCAAGGGTCCAACAAATTACCCACAGGGAGTGTTTAGGCTACAATGTAAGCAGAGTGAATAAAGCATCTTTTGAGTTACAGCTTTAAACAGAACCAGTTTGACAAAAGTTAAAAAAATAGAATTTATCACATATTGGGATAGTCTTAGATTTGTATGAACACATCGTGAACCTGATGTCAATTTGTTTTGGTGATGGTTGGAGTGCTCTTTGCTTGTTAGGAGAGAAAATGAAGACTAGAAAAATGTCTGAAATGCTTTGGATATTACTGGTCTTATTAAATGTACATTCAGTACTCTGTAACAATTATTAAACCCCTTAATAATATTCTTATGCATATTTTTTAAATAAATTGTTATTATTTATTTATTATTATTATGATTATTATTACAGTAGCACAAAGTGGCAAGTGCTATTAAAATAAATTAATATGTTTCCTCGAAAAACTCCACCAGCTTGATCAGACACGTGAGTTTTTAACTGTAGGAATATCACCTACTTTATTTATTTATTTATTTATTTATTTATTTATATATAAGAAGGTACATTGGGTTTATGAGAGAACAGAGATTTGATGTTTTACATTCTTGTAAAGCCACTAACACGCACAGCGTTTCTGGGTACTTGGGAGAAAGCATCATTTAAAAATTAAAATAAATGAAAAGACAATAATAATAATTAATAATTCATTGTGTCGGGGGACAGGAAGTCAGGTTATATATGCAGTACATGTTAGACTTTTACCATTTAAAGGAGTACCAGCTATAAAATTTAAATTTTTTATATTTTTTTAATTTGAATTTTTGAATTTGAATTTGAAAAGAATACCAGCTCTGTCTGGGTACTAGTAACCGGATGAACATCCTAATGGATTTTACAGATTTTTCCTAGACTTTTATTGACTTATTTACCTGGACTTATTTATTGGAGATAAATAAGTACAGAAATGTCATTATCAAAAGAAGGTGCTAGGCTATTGGGGTTATTGCAATTGGATGCCATGACCAAGATTACGCAAAATCAAGATACCAAAGTTGATTTCCAGTGTGAATTAAGTTCTCTTATGGACAAACTTTCACCATGCCCTTGAATAACATCGAAACCACCAGAAAATAAGAAGAAACTTTTGCCAAATTTGACGTCAAATAAATACATTGCATCTGAATTTACCTGAGAGCCACACACTCTCTAGGGGCTTCGATGAGGACAGGAGGCCGGTGGCTTGTCAAAGGTCCCTCATCCCCCAATTTTTCCTGATGTTAGTCCTGTAGGCCTCATCCATTCAAAGAGTCGATTTGGTTCTGGAATGATTTTTGTCACCTGGTGTTGAACTTCCTCCATAGCAGTTATGTCTTTCTGAAAGTGAGGTCTTCGTGCTTGGATACAGTAATCCAAGTGTATTATTATACAATAATACATTTATTAATTTATACAGTTGAATAGCTACCTTCTTTTCCTTGAAGTCAAAGGTTCGTTTGACTATTCCTTGGGTTTGGTTGGCATTTTTTTTATTGCAGCTCCCATTTGTGCAACTTTCAGAGATTGGTGAATTCTGACTCCAAGGTCCTTTTCCAGGAAATGTAGATGTTTATCTCTCAGAATGTTTGGTAATATGTTTATTGTTTATGATGTGTATCTATGTATGTATTAACACGATGTACTGAACGGGGTGAGAATAGCTTGAGCTACCTCATCTCTTTGTGTGTATTTTACCTCAATAAACTTATTTCAATTTCAGGTCCTTTTCTTCATCAATCTCTTGCAAGGAAGTGAGATTGATTTGGTAGTTGTGACGTGCATTGTTATGCTCAACACGCAAGGTCTTGCAAATTTTTTTATACTAAATAGCATTTACCAGTCTTTCGACTATTTGTGGGGTTCATGTTGATCTCTTTGTAAGGCCTCAATATCATTTTTATTTCCTACTTTACCATAAATCTTAAGTGTCATCTGCAAATTTGATGATGTGGATTTCTCATCTGTCATAGATGTAAATGACAACAAATGTTTTGGTTATAAAATCTTGGTTTTGGCAATTTGTTATCCATTCTATTATTCTACCATTTGTTCTATGAGCTTGTTTGTGCTTTCCTTGTCAGTCTTCCATGTGGTTCCTTATCAAAATAAAGCTTAAATAAATCCATGTATCTACAATTATACTGGAAGTCCTTTGTCTGAAAAGCTGGTTACAGTTTTCCAAAGAAATGTGAGCAGGTTCGTAAGGCAGAATTTATTTTTGATAAAACTATGCTGCGTTAATTTTATAAGACAGTTTACGGTAAGATGGCGACTGATTTCTTCCCTTAGGATTCTCGCCACGAGTTTGTATATGTATGCGAGGACAAGCTGATTGGACGGTAGTTTCTGTTGAGCTCTTCCTTTTTTTGTGTGAAAATAGAGGTGAAATTTGCATATTTTCAATCAAGAGGAACTATCTCTTAGTCTAGAGGTTTTATAAAAAGATAGACAGTTGGTTTCGCTTTCAATTCGCAATCAGTGATCCCGGGTTCGATGTCCCGGCTGGACAGAAAACGTTGTGCACGTTTCCTGCCACCTAATGCCTCTGTTCACCAAGCAGTAAATAGGTACCCGGGAATTAGGCAACTGTTGTGGGGTTACACCCTGGGGAAGGTCTGTAGTTTAGTAGTTTAACCTTGGCTGGGGTACCTCAATATAAGCTTTATGTATATATATATATATGTACAGGCCGCCTGTCCCCGACAAAGTAAATTATTATTAATCACGTATACAGCCTTCATATCCCCGACAAAACTAATAATAATTATTATTGTAAAAGTACTGTTCGTCATAGGACGCATCTTCTCACCAACCTATACATCTTTTCCCAATTTTTGGCGGCTTTATTTACATCAATTAAACAGTTTATGAACTCTGAAACACTAGGTGGCTGTTAACAATAATAATAACATTTAATTTGGAAGTTTTCGATGCAGGTAAACTGTTTAATAAGTGTAAATTAAACGGGCACAGATTGAGAAAAGATGTACGGGCGTCAGCACTGGAGGCGGGAGGCGCGGCCGGCGGCGGGTCCTGTGGCCAGGGGAAGACGGTCTGTATTTTATCATTATTATTGCCTCCAGCAGCGGCTATGGCTTGTTATGCCCCGTCCAGAGAGCTCACAACATGGAGGACCATTCAGGACGCTGCTCTGTCTCACAGTGAAGCACGTGACAACAAGGTAAGTCATGTGTTATATTTCGTGAACATTGAAATGTCATTGGATACTCGGGTGGTGATTATTTTTTAGCCGGGATTAAGTTCCTGAAGTTATTTCTTGGGCTGGACGGTAGAGCGACGGTCTCGCTTCATGCAGGTCAGCGTTCAATCCCCGACCGTCCATAAGTGGTTGGGCACCATTCCTTTCCCCCGTCCCATCCCAAATCCTTATCCTGATCCATTCCAAGTGCTATATAGGCGTAATGGCTTGGCGCTTTCCCCTTTCCCTAACAGTGTTCCAGACGTCGGAGTTCACCTCGCAGCATATAACAACCTCTTGAGTTATAACACTGTTGTGGGCTGGAGTTGCAGTTGTTGTTGTTATAGATTCAGCTACTCTGAACAAGCTCCAAGTAGCACGGGCTATGGTGAACCCGTAACTTACCCGGCACAATAGTGTGACGGTAACGCGTTGGTGTTCGGCTGTTTAAGGCTAGGGGTATGGCCTCGTCACATAGTTATAAAAAAAATAGAAAAACTGGAACTTCGTCTGTGGTAAGGTAAGGAGAAGACACACAAAACACAAGTAAACTTTAACAATGAAATTTTAATTACGTTAAATAAATCAAAACATGAAAATAATGCACAAACAAATTCTTATAATAAAATCAATGAATCAAAATAATAAGAATACTTAAATGACAAAATGAAAAGTTACGTTAAGGCAAAATAACAAGAAGTGCAATACAACAGTAAGTGGGAGGTGCTGGAATATTGGCTTAAAGCCACCACCTCTCTCAGTACACGCTAACGTCTAGCTGGGAGGAGTGCTGGCTACGAAAGCACGGAACATTCTGAGGACTGATGTTGGGGCGACCCCAGACATCAGGTAGTATTGGGGGCGAGTGCAGGTGCAGCCAGACCGGCGACCAATCAGCGGAGCCGTAGCGATCAACGGGTAGTTTGGTGGTTGGAGTTCGAACAGGTGGCTGGTTGCATACGTTTCTGCTCACCCTGGCAAGCCTTGCTGGTGCTGTTGTCGTTGTTGGACATTTCTTCCATAGTCTTTTTATATAATTGTGAAGACGTAATTTTGGAGGGAAGAGCAGGCTCAATCTCTTGAAGGAGATTATCGTCACAACTCTCCCCCGAAGCCTGCGGTTCTGGAAGAAGTACGTCGTTATGTGGTGGAGTAATGGATGGAGTCGCTTCTACTTCATAAACTCTGGAGAGGGCATCGGCTATGGTGTTGTCAGAACCCTTGATATAGCGGATCTCCAGGTTGAAGTCTTGTAAATACAGAGCCCATCGTAGAAGACGCTGGTTGGTGAATTGGGCTTGATGTAGGAAGCGGAGAGGGTTGTGGTCTGAGAAGATGGTGGTAGACCTGGCGCCTTGTAGGTACGGAGCGAAGTGTTGGAGGTTCAGGACGATGGATAGTAGCTCCTTTTCAATAGTGCTGTAGTTCCTCTGGTGTGGTTTCAGTTTGTAGCTGTAGTAGCTGACAGGTAGAACC